GACGAAATCCCTGACTTAATAATTTACCAGTAATACATAGATTACGTTCATTGAAATCCAAAACGTCACTACAGACACGGGCATAGCGAACGAGTTGTGATATATAAACGTCGTAAGATGGTGCCAAAGGAACATCACTGTCCAATAAAGGAAAATTAACGATAGGGGACGAAAAATAGTACCTTTTGTCGTAATTTTTAGTGTAGAGTTTCCCGTGTAAAACTGAAATGTCTAAATCTAGGAAAGGACAGTTATTACCGTTTTATATTTGATTTATTTAAAGTAATTTCCTATGGGTAAATTTCGGCAGTATATTTAGAAAATTCTTGATTTTTTAACGAAAAATATCATCAAGATAATGGTAAGTGTTGTTGAATTTATCAAATATATGCAATTATGACGGGTCTTTACTGACTTTGGTCATAAACTGTGATTCATAACAGTACAAGAACAAGTCTGCTATTAAAGGGGCGCAATTGGTACACATAGGAATACCTACAACCTGTCGATAAACTTAATTGCCGAAACGTACATAAATATTATCGAGGAGAAAATTAACAGCTTCAATCCCACCTCATCACACCTCTAGTAAGTATATCTAGCATAATTATCTTTTTCATTAGAGAAGAAGGCTTTAAATGAGTTGCAGCAAATATATTTGCATTCAGATTTACCAAACAACCATTTAAATAAATAGGAAAACTGTTGTTTGATAAGATTGTGTGAAAGTGTAGTGTAAAGAGTTGAAAGTCAAAACTGTCAACAGATTCAAAAGGACCATCAAAAGCACGTAAGATATCTATAACATCCAAAGACTTTTTTACACTACAAAAATAGTTCATTTCACTATTTTCATATGTTTTATTACAAAAGTTAATGATAAGTTCTTTGATAGTAATTAAGGAACTAATTAAAAGCACTGAAAGATTATTTGTAGAACACTTACTAGAGGCCGAGACGAAACGATACTTTATTGTTTTTTTCTTTTGTGTAGTTTATGTAACCAATAAATAGTAGCCTTCATATGTTCAGAAGAGGCCTTAATCTGTGAAAAGTCAAATAACAAAAATACCGAACTCCAAGGAAAATGAAAATCGGAAAGTCCCTTATCAAATGGCAAAATCAAAAGCTCAAACACATCAAACGAATGGAAAGCAACTGTCACATTCCTGACTTGGTATAGGCATTTCCTTATGTAGAAAATGGTAGATTAAACCTGGTTTGATAGTGTTAGCTAAACCTCTCCCTTGTATGACAATCGCATAAAATTCCATTATATTGACAACAATGTGTGAACAAAACAAACAGACATAATAGGTAAAAATGTCAAAAATAGAGGTACTGCAGTAAACATTGTGTTATAATCTTTATCATTATAAAACAATCAAATATGTTAACGAAGAAAAACTAAATAGCATATAGACAAAGCACATAAGCAAAAATGAAAGACAAGAATACAAAAAAAATACCATAACACAACAACACATTGGCGGGATGCATAAGTACCGAGCCACGCCAAAAGGATATTACCAAAAATGGACTCAACAGTAAAGGTTAATAATTTCAAAGACAAATAAAAAGAACACTATAACACCTAATTAAGATGATTAACAACGTCAGTACATAGAATATATACTTCAAAACCATCATGTATTATTTGTGAAGTTGATACGGAATATTTATCAACAAGGTATTGGTATCTTCAAATGAACTTTCTTAGAAAAAAGACGAGACGTGCTTTGACATAACCCTGGACTTGAATGTAGAAGAATTTAAAATCTCATTCGTAAGAACGTCCATGTAGTATTTACAGCATACCACCACCACATTGTTGGCTGCTTTGTCGGCCGGTACAAACACAAACCACTTTGAAAGCACTTGAAGTTTGTTTCCTATTCTAGGAACACGGCGGACATTATCTGTTAACCAAGCTCTGTTCTTTACCTGTTAATAAATTACATCAAATTTTAGAGGATTGCCACAAAATTCCATATTGCAGTCCTAGTTATGAAATCGTCCAAATTATAATTGCATATTAATTTTCTAAACTGTTTCCCATAATTAATCGCCTTTTATTAAAATCAAATATGTCAATGTCAATAAAGGTTTTGATTTTGTAAATATTGCCGGTATTTTTAATGATCATTCTGTTAAAAAACAAATACCTGGCTATTTTGATAATACTAAACTCCCTCTTATTTGTTATGTTTACAAAACTGTACCCGGAAATATGTGTTTAATTATAGCGAAGTGTGTAAAGATGTTGATATCAGTGACAATACACCTACGTCATGAAATTGCAGTTATTCTGAATACATTTATGGCTGCAGTTCCCATGTTATAACAGGACACCTTAACATCGTTCATGACCGAGAGTTGAAATCATACCTCAGTAGAGGACCTAAATATCATCCCCCGTCAATTATTAATTGGAATGAGTGTCGTAACATCATCCATGACTCACTCCGTACTTACTGTTCATTCAGTAATTCAGTAATGAACATAGTTGATATTCGTATTGAACATTTAAAAGAACATTTTACTCCTACCAACAACCATAATAGCCCTATTTCTCGTATCAAACATAAGCTAAAAGAACTCGTCAAGGAATTTGTTTTTGTCCCGGCTGATAAGGCTGCTAATAATATCATTATTGTTTGAAGTAAATTTTACATTGAGGTTCTGCAAAGGGAAATCATGAATTCACCAACATTCAAACTGACTCCATTTTCGGAAAATGACATCTGTAACAAACATAAACTTTTATCTACCTCTTTACAAGCAGAACCTAATACAATGAAAGTTCCATCTATGTACTGGCTTCTGAAGCTGCACAAAACACCTTACAAATATAGATTTATTTCGTCTTCAAGCTTCTGCTCCACTACTGAACTGTCTAATCTACTTACTAGTACACTTGGTACAATCAAAAACCTGTAAATGAGTTGTTCAACTAAGGCCTTTGAAAATAGTGGAATTAATTACTTTTGGAGTGTTAAAAATTCGTTTGAAGTACTTGATAAATTGCATGCTTATATTGGTGATTTCGAATCTGTTCAAAGTTCTGCTTTTTCTACCCTATATACCACTTTGCCTCATAATCTTATTAAGAAAAAATTCACACACCTAATTAAATGGGCATTTATAAAGTCAGAATGCGAATATATATGTTCTACCACTTTAAAGTTATTTTTTAGTACCAACAGACAAAAGAACTATGTCAATTGGACCTGCTTTGATACGATAACTGCCCTTGAATTTTTACTAGATAACATTTTTGTTCACGATGGAGATTCCGTATATTGTCAAGTTATCGGAATTCTAATGGGAACTAACTGTGCACCACTTATTGCTGACCTGTTTCTGTATTGTTATGAGTTACAATGTATGACTAAAATCAGCAAAGACCCATCGAAACAACATTTGATACAAAAATTAGATAACACTTTTAGAAAGTCGGATGATATATTTGCTCTTAATAATGACCACTTCAGTATGTACACTACAGAGATTTATCCTGCTGAACTGACTTTAAATAAAGCTAATACTAACAATGAGCACTGTCCTTTTTTGTTACCTATTCTGACATCGGACTCGGACTTCTTTTAAACTGAGTTTTACTGTGCGTATTGCTGTGTATTTGTTTATTCTACATTGGCTACAGGTATAGGGGGAAGGGTTGAGATCTCACAAAACATGTTTAACCCCATCGCATTTTTGCGCCTGTCCCAAGTCAGGAGCCTCTGGTCTTTGTTACTCTTGTAGGTTTTTTTTTTAGTTCATTTATATGTTTTGGGGTTTAGTGTGACTGCTCATTCAGTAATTCAGTAATGAACATAGTTGATATTCGTATTGAACATTTAAAAGAACATTTTACTCCTAACAACAATCATAATAGCCCTATTTCTCGTATCAAATATAAGCTAAAAGAACTCGCCAAGGAATTTGTTTTTGTCCCGGCTGATAAGGCTGCTAATAATATCATTATTGTTTGACGTAAATTTTACATTGAGGTTCTGCAAAGGGAAATCATGAATTCACCAACATTCAAACTGACTCCATTTTCGGAAAATGACATCTGTAACAAACATAAACTTTTATCTACCTCTTTACAAGCAGAACCAAATACAATGAAAGTTCCATCTATGTACTGGCTTCTGAAGCTGCACAAAACACCTTAAAAATATAGATTTATTTCGTTTTCAAGCCATTGTTCCTCTACTGAACTGTAAATAAACCAGATTTTTCAAATTATACAAATGAGATTGATCTGCCTAAAGAAATCATAATAACACTTAATTGGCTGCTGGATCCAATTATTGTCACATTAACCTAGTATTTACTATATATTATGTTCCAATTGTCGTAACTATTTTTCCTCCAATGTGACTTACAAAATTAGACTTAGAACCGGTTTGTAATTACATTAGCATCACGACGGATACCATTTGTCGATCAGACGTTTTTGGTAAGGTTCGTGTTGCTCCGTCTTTAGTTTTCTATGTTGAGGTTTGTGAAATGTTGTTGTCTTTTGGTTAATTTTTCGTTTGTTTTTTGGCATGTCATTGTCAATTTTTTTTCGAATGCAAGTTGAATATCCCTTTGGTGTCTTTCTTCCCTCTTCATTAATTAAGTTTTAAGCAAGAGTAGAATTTCCGTTCGTTTTTCTGTATTGAAATTCTTCCATTCTGTTCTAGGCATAGTATATTGACAATAAAATAACAAAAATACCGAACTCCAAGGAAAATTCAAACCGGAAAGTCCCTTCACAAATGACAAAATCTCGAACACATCAAACGAATTGAAAACAACTGTCATATTCCTGACTTGGCACGGGCATTATCTCATGTAGAAAATTGTGGATTAAACCTGGTTTTATAGCTAGCTGAACCTCTCACTTGTATGACAGTCGCGTAAAATTCCATTATATTGACAACAATGTGCGAGCAAAACAAATAGACATAATAGGTAAAAATGTCAAAAATAAGGGTCCAGCAGTCAACATTGTGTTATCATTTTAATCACTATAAAACAAACAACTAAGTCAACAAAGAAAAAAAACCAACATAGACTTTCTTAATGTTATATTTGACTACCTTTTTAATGGTTTGTGAAGTCATCCGATGATTCATTATTTTCCGATTTGCTGCTGCTCATTATGTGATTCTTTACAATGAATATGTATTAGCTACTCATAGTAATAAGCGAAATATTATTTCAGTCACATTTTAAATTCTAATCATAACAATTTAACTTCTATTTGTTTCATAAAATGAAGAAAATCATGAACAAAAGCTTTCTAAAATGTTTCATGAATAATATTTTAATAGACATGCAAATTATTTACAACAATCGAAATGATTCAAAATAAACATCAATGAATTAATGTTTGCAATCATGATAAGTAAAGAGGTACTTAGTAGAAATTAGATTCAAACATTACCAAAATACTCATGATAATTATAAAAATAGCAATCATAACAATCATATCGGTTTATCTGAATTATTTTAATAAGTGGATATATGTGTCAGCACCAGGAGAAAGAGTTACATTAAACATTAAACAAAATTTCCGACGTTCCAATTTAGAAATATAAACACTGAATTAAAGAAATATGAACAACATACCACATCGGAAAAGTTTTAAACAAGATCGTTTTTTAAATCAAGTTTGACTCGACTTTTGTAGAATGTTAAATCGAAGAATTTGTTTTCGTAAATCGAGCAATTTCAACAAAAAATTTAACAATATATGTGGAGCATTTTTATAACGACGATATATGTGGCAGCATCAAAAGACGCTTTCAGTAAACCGGGGAATACTTCTGACGCTCTATTTGAGAAATATAAACTTAATAAGAACACTAAATTAAACAGTTAGAACAATAAAACACATTTGGGAAAGTTTGAAACAAGATTGTTTTCGAAAACCGAGTTTGACTCGACTTTTGTAGAATGTTAAATAAAAGTTGGGTTTTTTTCGTACATCATGCAATTTTAAAAATTGTGTTAACAAAAGTCAGAAAAGTCTTAAGTCTTAAGACTGTGTTAAAACTGTTGGCTAATATGTACTGTATTTGCTATTATATTAACAGCCTGCTAATTTAGAAACATTTGTACCTATTACTTAATAAAATATTTTGTATCATGAAAACATTCTTAAACGAGGATCCAATTCCCGTATGAAAAAGTCTATAAATCAGGTGGAAATAGAGATCATAAAAATAGATCGAAAAAAAACATTACATTATAACACATAAATGAATATCATTATCACATTTGTGAAATTGACAGAATTCAATAAAACTTTCTTTGTACAAGGTTGTTGTTTTCCTCAATTTGTTGATCATTCAAAAGATAGCATCATTAGTGAGGTAAATACGACTTCAAACCTGAAATAGAAATATCAAGATTTGAATAGTTATCAACTTAGTCTTAAGATTTTTGTGTTGTATTTTGTAGACAGTAACAGTTATTTGTGTTTTCGACATGTTTTGTTTTTGCCATGATTGCCGTCTTCCGTCCACTTATCAGATTTCCCTTTGGTAGCTCTCGCCTCATTTTGTCTTTAGGATGCACAGGGTAGAGGTGGCATGTTCGATAAAGATAGTGGACTAAAGTCTGCCGAAATTAACTATACATCATTTTTTATAATTTTTACACAACCTACGATTAAAACCGTATTAGGCAAAGTTTAAATTAGTTATACGATTAGTAGACACTTCCCTTCTCGACAGCTCTTATGTTTGGCTCTGACAGTTCTTGGTATAGTTTTCCGGTCATAATCGGAAAACGAAGTATACTTGGTATCGTTTAATTTTATTCAAATGTGATTTGTTTCAATATTTTTTTATCATTGATATGGTCAATAATATTAGCATTAATGGTTCTTTAAAATTATCATCTCATACATACTCTTTGGATTTTTTTTATAGGTCAAAAATGTATTGTCGAGCACATCTTCCAATTATTACCATCGTCTTTATTTAGCTTTAACACTGATGTTTCCAAATCCATCAGCAACCAAAATCACTCACAATATGAGAATGCAATATACACTAAACAAAATAACTAAATAAATTATTTCTGTGTTCCATCTACAACAGTCGTGACGAAAATCAAGACCAGGGCCTTTTAGTGGGAAGCTGAGTTTAACTACAGCTTAATCTCTTCAGTATGAATATCCTAACTGTTCTTGATATACGGATATCACCATATTAGACGGATATATATTCTCTTATTACAACTACAGTTATTTAGAGTTTTATTTATCTTAAAAAGTAAACAGTCTTACCTCCGGACTTTTCAGTGTTTTGCATAGGACATTCTGGTGAAGATGATCTAGAGGAATCATTATCGTCATCGGACAAGAAACCATCACGGTGAAGCAACCAGTATGTACGAACGTAACCATGAAAAGCATTCAAGACATCTCGATCATGCTGCAATGTAATATGAATCCTTGCTGATAACTGTCGACTTTCAACCATAAAGAATATAGATACGTACATGTAAAAATAGAACTTATCAAACCAAGGGTTCCAAATTGGTAGGTTGAAGTCATCTCTTCGAAAATATAACGGAACGTCTTCGATTCATCTATTGAAACTTAGTTTCGATTTTATACTTACCATGCACAGCATGACGGATGCAATTTGTAGAGCAGGATCTGTTTACCATTCTGAAGAACCTGATATCACCCCAGATTTTGTGGGTTTGTATTGCTCTTAAGTTTTTTTTTATGTAGCATTTCGTGAACTACACTTTGGCGTCTTTTGGTAGATTTATTTTGTCAGGGTGTTGTCACTTTCATTTCGATTGATGAGCAATGATATGTGTATCATACGTTGCTACCATTTAGTTGTTTCTGTTTGTGGAATGTCTAGAAATAATTGAGTTGCCACTGGCACTTTTTAAATTATAAATGTGTATTCAAGTTTTTCAGTTTCATGAATGTGTTTGCCAAAAACATTTTGTCTGGAGAGTAATTGAGTTTCAGTGAACAAGATCAGAATTATACCTTTATAGTAACCTTTTCACTGCCATACACCAAGAACCTCCGTGGTTTTCTTTCATTTTTTTCATTTTATGAGGGAAGTCGTCTCTTCAAAATAATTTAGATCTTTCGAAAGGCATCCCAATGAAAGGATTGTTTTGGTTAATAATCATGTCAATCGCAACTTTCATATAGCTATTAATGAAATTTCTTTATGTAAAGATTGCAATTTAGGCCATTTTTGGACCGCCCTTAACTTCTTCAATCATACAAAAGGTTAATATATGAATTATTACATTAATAAAGTCATTATATTTAATACACACTTTCATTTCATCATCCCGTCTTTCTTCCATTACAAATCCACCAAAAACGTTTAACAAATCTCTAGTAGTAAGGCTTATTTGTATCTTGTTGCCTGCAAAAAAAACATTATTTACATTTCATATAAGATAAAGTATAAATATGATCTTTTGCATGGAACAAAGCCAAAAATAACTTTTCTTCTCCTTTGTTTTTTTACAAAGATGATCGATTCAATTGTAGATGTTGACAAAAACAAGAAGACGATAAAATGGGTCAAAGCGGTTGTTTTAAAAAAGATTAAGTTGAAGAAAGACAGACAAATTAAGGCGATAGTAGCTTACCGATGTTCATATCTCGTAAATCAATAAGGAACAGACAAACGTAAGGGAAACACATGAACTCCAAAATGAGTCGGACCAAGTGCGGCGACAGGGTGAAAGACTACTGTTATGCATGCGTTATCCGTCATGCGAATTCATACTCAGTCAAAATGTCACAATCGGTTAAATTACTGATCAGACGAAGAAACTATTGTTTAAAGATCAAGACCGCGAAAAAATATCGCTAGTAAATTGAGACACCTATACATCGTATCGGTCATCCAATTTGTGATAGGGATTGTATGAATTATGTTTTGTCGATTTCAGTCAAGCATACCCTTGCTAATATAGTCCGTATAGTGTAAACATGCACGAACGTAACGTAATAACTGAAATATGTAAACGTCATACGATGGAGGAGATAGACTGAGAAATGAAAAGAAAAGACTTTTATGGAGCATTATGCAGACCTTGCACTCTAAAGTTGTTTGTAAGGTTACATATGTATATTTTGTATGGTAAAGGAAGCAATTTACCTTTTAGGCTTAATCTCCAACCCAATATAAAACTACGATCCTACATCAGGATTTCTTACTTAGTAAATGTCGTTTGAAATATATGTTGGGTGTCCATGTTAATTGACAACACCTAAATCCCTTCTTAATAAGTTTGTAGCCGAACGGAAGTCTTCCGCATTTCACTAACACCAAACCTGTTAATGTGAATTAATATAAATGTGCATAATAATTTCATAATCGTCAATAGAAAATTGTATATACAATACCTCTACCCTGGGATTCCATTTTGGATGCAATGCTGACAGTTTCTCCAAATAAACAATACCGGGGCATTTTCGTTCCGACAACTCCGGCAAGGACTGGCCCTAAATTGAAAAAAAACACTAATACAACATTGTTCAAACTGTAAATAAGCAAGTTCATCTAAGACAAAATATTACCTAGTTCAAAATGGAACATCTATCCTACACATTCATTGGATATGTAAGTGTCAAAGCATTATATTTGTTGATTTTTTTCTTTGTTATACTGAAATAATTTTTGATGTATTTCAATTCATTATTGACATGAAATAAACACGTCATAAATTTCTTTCGTTATTCGACCATGTCAAGTAATTGTATGAAGGTGATGAAATAGTAATTTAGAAACTGCTTTATAATCCGTTTCACTCTAGCTTAAATATATGATATATACTAATATGTAATATCTACGTTATCACTTAAGAGACATTAATGCGCAATAAATTTGGTAGTGTGAATGTTATTTTCATTAAGTATACTGAATTTGCCTTTCTTTTCTCGCGTTTTAATTGGAAATTTATTGTAAGCGAGATCGAGACTAATAATCAGGCAGTTGCTAAATGACTATATCGTCACCTTCATATAATTACTTTGTATTGTCAAATGAAATTTTATTCATTTAAAACTGACCAATCAAAGATGTTATGAAAAATATTCTTATTTCTCTCTTAACAGCAACAAAATAGGTTGTGTATCATATAAGTTAACTAATGGTTACTAAAGGTGAAATAACATGAAATTTGATAACACAAATCCAAATTAAATATGCACATTATGTCACTTAACATTGTATGTATGGTCTATCATTGAAATCGGATAAATTTTGAAAAAGCAGATATTTTTGTTTTAATAGTGTTAATACAAAAGAAATAAAAATGAATGAATTATTGACTATTTAACGTAACTCTGATAAAATAAATTATCATGCTATATTTATTTTTTCCCTTACTTTTAATATTTATCATTTGTTATTGTGTCTCCGTAACTGTCTCAGTGTTTATTGTCTTAAGTTGTATTTGTTCCTTTTGTAACACGAATGTTATGACTGGGTGTACAATAAAATGTTGAAATCTTGTGTTTTGTATTAAAAGTGTACATGTATGTCAGTGATAACATGCATATAGAGACTTTACAGCAAAGAATAAAGCCTAAATGTATGTAGATATTAAGAGATAAACAATACTAATTTATTATGAGTTTATTTGGCAATGTCATTGAATAAGGTTCCTATAAAGCTAACTCATGTGTGAGTGTAATATAATATGCATACCTGAGTGTAATCCGATTCTGAGCTTGAATTTACTTCCAGGTAGGTGTGGTATTTCCAGCTTCTTGATATTATCCAGAAGATCAAGAGCCATTGTTGCTATTTCCGATGCATGTCTCCTTCCATTCCTCCTAGGAACACCTATTTAATTAAACACTTCTTATAAAAAATCATAGATCATTTTTTTCACTTACAAGGCTAAAGTACAAAAATATCGAATACAAGCTTTCGTTAAGCGAATTATAAGTTTAAAATTTTTTTATGTAATTGTTGTCAATGCTTATTCATATGGGTGACAAATTAACATGATTTGATTTGATGCAATTATACCAGCATCATTTACGCACTTAAAACAATACAACTGCTATTGATATTTAAATCATTGTGCAAAATCCTAAGGATTTGTAGTTTGATCTGCAAAGTTCATTAGACATATCTAATCTTTTCCTACAGTTTATTTGAATGCTAGAATAAAGTTTCATATATCCATTTTAATTTTAAATTGACTTTATGACATTGTAAACCAACTCATTATTGCTGATACTATTTCGCGTTTATATAACTTTAACGCCGATTATGCGACTATAAATTTACGATTGTCTAAAGTTTATGTCTCCGTCTAAACAAAGATTCACCGTTGACATACATTGGACATTATTTTCTACTCGCAAGAGTCTTGTAAATACATCACTCACGGAAATAAGTTGGTTTAAAGTCTTACAAGTTTCTGTACTGTTTTTTTGTTTGTTCTATTATATACGTTTTAATAATCTGTTGATCAAGATTGACAAAGTGAAAGACTGCGAACTCAATCAACAAGTTAAACCCCAAAACACATTATGTGGATGTCCCCAATCAGGATCCTCTTCAGTGCGTGTATGTTATATGTTAATTGTTAGTTTGGAAAATGGAGAATTGGATGTTGGTGATTATAATAATCTCATCATAGATCACAAGCTTAAGATTTTGTATGCCAGACGCGCGTTTCGTCTACAAGAGACTCATCAGTGATGCTTGAATAACAAAACGTCAAAAAGGCCAATTAAAGTACGAAGATGAAGAACATTGAGGACCAAAAATTCCGAAATGTTTTTCCAAATACAGACATATCTTTGATTGATTCTATTTAATTATTCACAGCGTTTACAGACTTGGGACGATAATAAGTTGACATCTTCCATAGACATTGCCCTCTAGTTATTTTTGATACTTGGATTGATTTCTCATGCACATATTACCCTCATCTCTTTTTATTCATTTTTGTATTCCTAAAATGTAGATCTCACCTGATACCACCATGTAAGCATCACCAATGGTCTCAACTTTATATACATCGTAAACCTCAATTCTGGCATCAAAGCTTAAATACAGTCCATTCAACATATCAACAACTTGAAGAGGTGAACTCTGTGCAGATATACTCGTGAACCCCACAATATCACTAAAGAAAATTGTGGAATCTCCATACTGCTCAGCATCTACTTCTTCACTTCTTTTCAGGCTTTCTGCTACACTCTTTGGTAACATCTGATACAACAAAATGTCAGTTCGTTTCTTCTCTTTGTTTAAGGCTTTTGTCCTAAGTAATAACAATGTTGCTACCATTAAGTTTAAAAAGTGCTCATTTAACAGTTCTCACAAAACTATTTCTTTAAATTGTATTTATTTTTGTAATTTTTTTTAGGGAATAATTGTCTAAAACAAAACATGTTTGGTTTATCGTATTAAGTAATAAGTACATTATACATCATCAAAAGCCGTGACCGTAGATATTGTCTTATTGTATAACACATATTGTGTAAACTGTATGTTGACATCTAGATGTATTTTGGCTATGTTTTAATTGGTTAGCTGTCTCATTGACAAATTCCCCACACCTCCTTTTACCTACATTGACTTAACTGATCTGAACCAAAATCATCGTCTCAATATATACAAACGACCAAATACATGTCGTTTCACTGTGAAAGGTTAACCCTTTTCTGTGAAGTATGGTTATATTTGTTTAACAGAAAAACAATTATGACGATGGCCATATGTGTACCATAATATGAAGTAGACTTTTTTGTTGAAACAAATGTAGCATCTGTCGATATTTGGTTTTGGGTAGGTATTGAGAATTAGTGAAAAGGAATTGTCAAGTTTATATTAAGTCAGATATCCGTAAAAAATCAAAGGTAGTTATACTACGTATGGAAATAAAATCCTTAAAGAATGACGTCAATTAGCACTGTGGGAGAGGGTCTAGTTGACATATGAATACAGCCTTTAAGAAATTATGCAACAAGAGACATACGCTGTTTCTGGTAACATCTAGAATAAACCATTTTGAACCGGTTCTACTGTCAATGAAATATGTATTATTTTACAAAAATATAAGGGAAAATGAAGATTGAATAAATTTTAAAACATCCTTGTGAAGTTGTTTCCACAGCTCCCTGTACTCATGCATAATCAAAAAAATTTGATGTGAGATGCTTGTAATTCATAATGTTTTATTCTAATATTGTATTGGAATAAACCTTGCATAGAAGGAAGACAAGGCTTTTCATTATTATCAAACCATATATGCAGATAAAAGCATGCCACTCAACAAAACGCAGAATACGAAATATTGAGCAGTAAAAACCCCACTTAAACGGTTTGAAAAAGGTCTCTGCTCAACTAATGTCTCATGGCAATTTTACAAAAATGATGATAAGTTTTTATGGTACATTGTTAGAACTACCTTAATAAAATATATCATAAACAATCCCTCGAATTTTTACATTTACTGAAATTATATATATATTGTAAATTAATATCTATGAACATATCATGACACCGTGATAGTAACGGTTCTTCATATCAAGAACAAGATTATTATGATAGCCACACTTTTAAGGTTAAATATATAGCCGACTACTTATACATATTGTTTTCATCACATCAACAAATTGAGGGCGCGTATGCGATTGAATCATACGTATCATTTTTTTTCATCAAATATGTTTGGATCCCATACAATGTTAAATAAGTATATAAAGATTCGTAAAAAACTAATTAACGAACGGCGTAGGGCGATATATTCATATACTTAAAACGTTTAATTTCAGTGTGCATGACACATTTCTCAACATTATTTACTGATCCAAGCCAGTAGATGATTTTTTGTATTGTCGACTGTTCAATATGCAAGGAATTTTCTGTCTTTATATTGTTTTATAGTTACACTTCTTACTTGGTATGGTGAAATTTGTATTGTAAAATTGTTATTATTGTCTTCAGGTATGTAAGAAAATACCCACATAATAGTCATAGAAAAACATGATATCGCTTATTCATTGTGTAAAACAAATAAAAGATAAACAATACAAAACATAACGTATATTAAATGTAAATTTAAGAAGTTGCTGAATACATGTCAATACGACATTGCCCAAATTTTGATGGTAGTTTTGAAATGAATTGTCGATTAAACTGTTTAATAGTATAAATATTAGTTACTAATACGTAAACAGTCATGATCAAGTGGTATCGTCAATGTACTTTTGAAAGTTATTGAAAAAAGCGCGCAATTTGATCCTAAGATGTTCTTTTCGTTATTCAAAATTATGCACTTTTTAACGAAAAAAAATGTAAATAAATCTTAAAGAAACTAATTAATGCTTTATCAACTCGTGCCTTTAGTTGATATCATATTTAAGTTTCCACTTTTTTGTTATTTATATCAAAGTGTAAAGTAAAAAAAAACAATCCTACCTGTTTGCGATGGAAATTGAATACTTTTGGATTTCAGATGTTAATGAGTACACTGCAAATACAATCAATGGGCATACAATAAGAATGACGCCAAACACAATGCATATAGTTATAACACTTTGAAGTTCCTCTTCAGATGCTTTGGCGAGACTTTCGTCAATGGTCAGAGCGAGCGCATTCTGAGTTCGTGTCAAAACTCCCTGATATATTGTCATGTTATCAAACCATCTTTCAGCCTCATGGATAGATGCTTGAGTACTTGTATAATTATTTGACTTGATTCTGTTTCTATAGTCTTCTATTGGAACAATAACCTCTGTGTTTTTAGCCAGTTCTATGTTATAAATATCAAATGCTATTTTAGAGTAAAATCTGGCCGATTCGAAAGTGACGTTTGCTCGATCCTGATTTTCCATGAACAAAAGATATTTTTCTCTTGTTTCAAAACCGCCAGTAGCGTAGAATGACACTCCAAGCGCTCTTTCTCGTCCAAACAGTTCGCTGGACACAATAATTTCTTGATATGCCACCACGTCTTTCCAAACTGATCCAGTACTTGATTCGCTAATTGCGTCGTATAACCATTTCAATAAAACCATTATGCTGTTGGAATAGAAATCTAATTCAGTTTCCACCGACTGATTATAAACGTCAAGCTGATATCGGTGTTTATTCAAATATGAGAGAAAACGTTCCCGTGTTTCCATTTCCATTACAATGTCATCTCCTCTCGGCCATTTTGATAAATTTTGAATAGCAAGATCAGTATCAGGATACCTCTGCAGTAGAAAATCTTTTGTCTCTGGCTTGATATTACTGACATAAAGGGCACTCATATCTCGTTCAAATTGGATGGTACGAAGCAGCGCTCCTAATTCTATGCTGAAGAAGAGGAGTTCTCGGACATTTGCAGAACTGATGTAGTTGTCAATGGCTATGGCAAAGGTGTTTGCTGTCATACCAGTAATTACTAATACTGGAATCATTACAACTGACAACATTTTGATCATTTGCTTGCGTTTCCCTGCATCTGTAATAGGGTTACCTTGAATATAAAATGTATACAATAACTTTGATATCAATTATATACGTACTTACGTTTTGAATCCCTTTCAGAACTAAATGAAAATATTCCTTTATAAATTTTGTGCGTTCGAAGCACTTTTCTGGATTTATCTTTATCATGGAAAACTTAAACCTAAACATTTGTAATCCAGGGATTAATTAATATGTAGAAACGTTAGGGGCTACATGACTAAAATAAAATAGCAAATTTATACAGGGTCAGCTATGAATGACAGTATGAAAGCACTGAATACTGAGCTGATGAACCTCTCGAGTATTAACATGAAGTAATTGTTATGTTATTAGACGGGTGGATCGATGAAAGTGTCCAGCGTCTAAACTTTATTCAGGACAATAACATATTAATTCAAAATAAATATATTCCTAGTTGTGTACAAGAACATCAACTATCATAAACTCATAGCTGAATTTGTTTATTTGCCAGTCATTACGATGACATTTTGCAGGTAGATGTAATAGCCCATCAGATAGTTTTACATTTTGTGTTTAATTTTATCCGACTAATCTTTATTTGAACACCTAACAATTTAATGTGATTGATAGTAAAGTAGCAATTACTAAGTTTCAAGAATTTGATTACTGGAACTCGAACCGAATACGTTATTACAACATCACACATGTTAAGACTAAAAAGCTATTTAGCATTGCTTCGGTATAGACATGTTTATCTAAAGCAAACAATGATCAATATAATTACATGTATTGATTTTGATTTTTGATTTTTGGTGTTTTAAGGCCACTTCTAAGCACCGCTTTTGGGCTATTTCGTGGCGGCCAGTTTTTTGTTTGGTGGAGGAAGCCGGAGTGCCTGGAGAAAACCACCGACCTTCGATAGGAAAACTGACAATCCTAGTCAATTAAGATTGGAGTCAAGTGCACCCGCACGAGCGGGGTTCGAACTCACAACCTCAGTGTTGACTGGCTAGTGATTACAGTAGTAACTACTTAGACCACTCGGCCACCGAGGCCCTTTAATTACAAGTATAATTGTTACACATTTTGTATATTCAATAAAATTTAGACGAATCCTCAAATAGTATGGCTATAGTTTGATTATGAGGACTTCATGGTGGGTGATATATGTATAACAGGAGACGCTTACCCTGTCGACGCACCCGATCTCGTTCCATTTGGTGTTCATGCGATTCCTTCTGCTTTTCTTTTTTTGCTTTATTATTGTGATTTATTAAATGTGATGTTTAACTACTGTTACCTCAATCAATTTGATGATTCACAACAAAACAGGAACAAGTGTGATAATAAATGTTTGCAATTGGTGGCCATTGGAATACATTCACCTTGTGGATGACCGTTTTTGTCGAACTGTTTATCATAGCGTCTATCAGTATGTAGTTTCGGAAGTCAATACATATTAGGGACTTTCAAATATTCTGAAGACTTGAAACTCAAGCAGACATTTCCGAATCAACGACCTTCAATCTTACATTTTCAATTTAATATATAAGTCTTTAAGTCGCTTCTCCGGAAATTTTAATGATCGTCGTATATGACACTATGCAAATAAAGCGATTGTTGCACTTTGTAGCGAAAATTACAAACTATTCCGTATGATTAAATATTATGTACATTCTTCGGAATTTTGTATTGGTTTGATCGAAGTTCTCTTTTATTTAAAAGTTTGTATCTTTATTGTTTTGATAGTCTTTGCCTCGATTTCATGTCCTGTGAATTTGCAACTTTTAAGATTTGCCTAACATTCTAGGACACCTGGTAACACTGCCGGTTTGCACAAGAGTTGTGTGGCCCAATGCTTATGAACTTAATTGATGTAGTTATATCTCTTTTCAATGATTTTATTCCTTGTCTCGGTGCTTTTATCGTTTAAGTGTCCTTCGGATATTCAATATATGATTTATTTGGTTCAAAATCTTTTAAATTTAACTCCGAACTGTTTACTGCTACGATTACCAGTTTTTACTTGTAATGCAATCGCATATGCTTTCTTCGAGCCGCTTCCTACAAGGTAGCAGTAAATACAGCATGCAACTTTGCTATCTCGTCTGTATGATAATGCAGGAAAAGCATCACCAAAATTATGTTGATATTGGTTATATTTGAAAAGTATTTACCTCTACAAACTGCGTCACATCTGGTAGCTGCTTGTCTCATACTCAACATTTCCATAATGGCTGTATTAAGCTGTGATGGTGTAAGGGAGAGCATCGAACTGGAGCTTGATGATCTCTTTGCAATATTCGACACCTGGTCAGAGGGTTTCACTTTCTTTCCAGGCATTTTGTCGGTGGTTGTTATTTAACTCACTCCTTTTTTTTCACTCGTTAAACCTGAATTTATTGGAGATTATTAATTTAAAACTGTATAAGTTTGGCAGTTAAAGTAAATAAAAAATATTGTTTTTCTTTAAAACTGTATTAATCATACAGAATAAAAAAAAGGAAGGGCTTCAAAATGACAAATTTCTCTGAGTTACCGAAATGTTCGTTCGAAATGTGATAAATAATCAAAATTATATTTTAGAAATTACGTTGTTTATTTTTTATATCTTTATGTATTTAACATACGAGTTGTGGCAATTGATTTCCAAACTTAAGCAAAGCAATTCGAAATGTTATGCCATAAGGTCTGAAGCTTAAATGATTCAACAAGGGGCAGAAACGGTAATGGAGCAAATGAATTGGACCTGGCAGCAACTGGGCTGGTCTTTTGTTAACAAGTCTTTAGATTATGATAATAATACCAATGGCGATATCTTTGTGAAATTTCTAATGGCATTTTAAATGTGAATTTAATAACTGTGTTGATAAGTTATCAACATGAAATAGATTATAACTGATGACTTTATCATATACAATGCATTAAAAAAAACCTTGATAAGCAAAAAATGATGCATATTATCAAGAAATATGATTTTTGTAAATTTTATCATTTTTAAAAAATCCGAATTGAAGTATATCAAAGTAGAGAATCACTAAAGGCCGGGCCTAAGAACAAACATGAAACAAATTATTTGTTCATACAAAGTTATTCTTCTATTTGGTTTATATTTGAATGTGATAGATACGTAAGCAACTTTGGTATCAAATAAGATTTGGAAATGTGCAGTTCATTTTGAAATACATCTTTTTGTGTGTTTAGATTTTATATCTTCTTGGCTTTCTAAATTTTGTGTTTGAGCGTTCCTGATGTAGGTAAATCCAGAGAAGTCCTACGAACGCACGAAATTGATAGGGTTATTTTCATTTAGTGAGCAAGTGAATGTGTATGTATAAATGCTGTCTAATATACCTCACATATCCTTTTTTTTAAACAATAACATTTTTATTTCATTTTATTTGATTAGAATAAAGAGGTCGATATGCAATTTTTACTGCAGGCTCAACATATTATTTACATGTATTTTTTTACGCTTGTACATCAATTCTTTAATAGTGGAACTCAAACGTCTTAAAATCAACACACATCAAAGCTGAGAGCACAAGAATTGTGAAAGATTTAACTGTGAAAAGGATGTATTTACTTTTCACATGCTTTTGAAGATAAACAGTCAAATAAAATTCAAGGAAACACTTGTGTTGGTTATTGTATGTAGGACATGAAAACATGAATAAATAGCTTTTATATACAGATTACAACATACATTTTTTGTGAGTCACAATAAGTCCTCCTGATGATCCTCAAGTAAAGGTACATTTAAATAAAGTACATTAAACAAAGAAGTAGGTTCAAGAAGGTTATTCAATGGCCCCTATTTGTGGCTAAAGTTTCTAATGAGGATGTATTGACCAATATTACAAGGAATCATAGTTAGAACAATGATTAGGCAGGATATATACCTTTTTGTTGAACATTAACGTATTGTCGTTTTTGTTTTTATATTTCTACCAAATTCAACAAAACAGGTAAAATTTTCATTGATTTTTTGAACTGGAAACATAGAGCGCAGACATCGACAAAAAAGATCTTTTAACAAAATGCTCGTTAAAACATTTTTATCTGATTTGAATATTAAGTTTGTCGAAGCCTGCGATCTATTTTGCCTGGCCTAAATTTGGTTGAAATCCATAAAATTTGTTCAATTTCACAAACATCTCTACTTTAGGCCTGTTTGTATTATATGTAGCTTATAATTCGGTTTAGAAATATCATAATTCAAAACTGACTGGAAAGAAAATCAAAATACCTACCTTACGTCAGCTAGTCATAGATAACAATAGTAAAGGTTACGTATCTTTACGTTTAAGATTATCCATGGTAACCATAAATGTTTTTAAAATGTGTTAATATTTCCTATCATATTTGCTGAATGTTTCCTTTTTAAATCAATAACTCAGTTCATAGCTCTAAAATTCACGAATGAAAACTTAAAGATGTAAACTTGTGACAACTTAACACTTATAGCCTTTCGGAAGCAATTATCAGTACGGACTTTTCACCATTCTGTCAAAACGTAATTTCTGTCACATTTCAATTAGTAATAACAATAATGTTTCGACCATTGCAAACAGTTGTCAGATTATCAAACAATTTATGAAATCCTTATAACCTTCACCTTCTCTGGCAAAATAATATCTGCAAATTAAATTCATTATAAGATATCAAAGACAAATTTTAATAAAATGTTGACATTAAAAAAAAAACAATTCCATAAAAATGATTCGACAACTTATATTTGAGAAAAAGTTTTTAATATAACTATGTATTTTGATAAAAAAAAAAAACGCTTCATAAATTTTGCAACAAACACCTTTAGTTAAAATCACTTAATACCTCCAGAAAAGGAGGTGGTATGATTAGAACCCTTAGTTGGCCATTGAAATTACAAAAATAGTAAAATTATTCACACTTTCAAAATAATGTTATTTTTTTTGATAGATAAAACTGCTGATATAAACTGGACACTTTAGTACAGAAATAAGTTACTTGTGATACCATTATGACGTCATAAGATTGTCGTAACTGTTATATTTTACCTAAAAAAACTTACCGTAAAAGATATTTTCTACACATTATCATCTTTCTTAAAATACATATAGTCAAGGTTTTAGCCAAATATATTTTTGAGTAAAGCTTTGATTCATATCTTATTATTAATGACAAGGTCTCAAAATGATGCTATTTTAGTAGCTTTTGATAGATTTTCACCGAATACATGTACTGAATGCAGTTTGAAGCTATAATGCAAAACTCGGACCGAATTCAAAAACATCAATAATAATCCTCGACAGCAGTCACATATCTTATGAAGATCTGAAGAGTGTTATTTGGCAGATTTATAATATTTGTTAATTTTCAATTCAAGGAACTAGAACGTTAACCTTATATCCTTTCAATCTGGTTTAGAAAATAAATGCATTTGTTTAAATCATTGAGGATTTCTTATTTATAAAAAAAAGGAGATGTGGTATGATTGCCAATGAGACAACTATCCACCAAAGTTCAAATGAAGTGGATGTAAGCAATTATATGCCACCGTACGGCCTTCAACAATGAGAATAACCCATACCGTATAGTCGGCTATAACAGGCAACGACATGACAAATATGAAACAATTCAATAGAGAAAACTAAACTTTGTTTTTTTTATAAATAATTATTTTTGAATACACTTGAAAAATTTGTAAAATTTTGTTTTTGGCGATTGAGAAAACCAATATTTGTTTTTTTGTTTTTGTATTCAAGTAAATAAAAAAAAACCATTATAATATATCTCCTTTAGTGTACACAGCATTTTATACAAACGCTCCGTATCACATTTTTCTTCAACAAAGTATAGTATTGCGTTCCTTATATGTATATAAAAATATCAATATGATATTCAAGGCTTTATAGTGCTACATTTGATACATGGTTAGCTAACACATATATTGTGAAACCTGTTATACTGGGGTTTTTTTCAGATAGATAATTTAAGAGGAAGAAGATAATACCAATATTATACTTCTGACGGAGACATGAAAACTGTCAATTAAAATTGCAATTAAGTAAAAATTATTTCAATAACTTCAGGTTAAAGTAGTGCAAAAACATTTGCCATAACCTTCTAAAGACTGCTTTATATTGGTTTGACTATCTATTAATAGAACGCTCGGTTTCCAAGTACATTCAATAAGATAATGTTGAACACCGACTAATTGAAAAAAATTGCAATAAAAAAGATAATATATAGTTGACTTAACTAACTTTTCACAGAGACCTATGTAGTGAATATGTAAATAACAAAGTACAGTTTTAATGAAATTTCTATTTTCAAACTTTCAATTGTCCTTTTTGCTTAGTGCTTGGTATATTTAATTTTAAGGCAAAGGATCAGGTATTTCGTGATTTTGTACAATTTTCAATTTTTATCAAGGCATGGATTTTAATGAGAATATTTGAGAACTTCAGGTTAAAGTGGTGCAAAAACATTTACAACGTCCAATGAAAGACTGCTTTAATTTGATTTGACCATCTATTAATAGAAAGCTCAGATTTCAATGCATTCAATACAAGTAATGTTATGCACAGACTAAACATGAGCGGCAATGTGCTTTTTTGAAGCAATTGCAAACAATAAAATTTATAAATAAACTATGCAGCTGTAAAACTTTTTGACACGGTCAAATTCAGTTGGGCTGGAATACATCTTAATTAATCATAAATTGTTAATAATTTAACCTGTGGTATAAGCGTTTGTTCAGTTGTTTTCATGTAAGCCTTCTCGATTTATTAACATTTAAATCGTAATTTTACCTACTAATCTCAGTTTCAATAACAAAAGCACCTGTTTTCACAGTTTTAATTTTTGTCCTTCCGAAATGATGGAGTTTTGTTTGAATGACAGAAGCATTTCGTTCGACATCCTTAGTTTACGTCAACCGTTTATCGTGAAATTTATTTTCAATTCAAGGATGAGTGATTGTTAGGTCCCTTTTAATTTTGATGATTTTATTTTTGTTTTACGTTTCTGATCTTTTTTGTATATTTTTTCATACAATAACTCCACTGTTATATATATATATATATATATATATATATATATATATATATATATATATATAATTATGTGAATTAGTTAGTTCAGTTAAGAAAGGTTTGTTGTACAATTGGAGGGTACAAACCTCAATTGTTCATTTAGCTTCAGAACAATCAGAGCAAAGTCGTTATAGAATAATTCAAATCATAAGAAACACAAAAATATACAAAAAGCATTAAGTATAAAAAACAATTGCAAAACCATTTCAAACTTTAAGGTAATGACTTTTGTGGAAATTAAATACAGCTTAGTTTTGTTGACTGCAGGACTAAAAACTAATTCGATTATGTTGATTTGCCGAATGATCCATAATA